GTCGATTCTTTTATTAAAAAACCCGACTCAAGTACAAATAATCAATCAGTAAAGAAAAATTGGGTTTGGCTCATTTACAAATAAATGACTACTGAAATGGACCAATAACAAAATCAATTTGGACTTCGGAGAACCCTAACTCTGATACCATGTTAGCAGCGAAAATCAATACAAATTTAGGAAAACCTTGAGCTAGATTTCGAGAGAGAATGAGAAGAAAGAGATAGAAACTTTTATTGGTTTGTTGATGAAAACTACAAAATAAATTTGTCCCTAAAAGTATCTGGAAGTCAGTTCTGTTATACCCCATTTTAAATTGGTTAAAATAAGGTACAACATATAGGCAAATCCGAGTTTGATTAAAGTAAAAGAGTCGCCACCTAATTATTTTTAAGGTGAATTAGGACACCTAAAGTAATTTAATAAAGTATAGCTCGGTTAATGGCCTACTTAACCTAAAGATTCTAGGTAAAGGTTCAATTAATCTAAAATGAAGGTTTTTTAAGGTATTCTTTAAGATTCATTTTAAATGGTTAACCATCCAAACTTAGATTAGTTTAAATTAAGGCAGAGTAACAAATCCTCTAGAAAATATTAGTTAATGCTAAATATAAAGATTGTGAAATGATTAAAATATGAACAAGGCAACAAATAATGAAGTGGTTACGTGTAATATCAATTTTTCTAACTTAAGAGTTTGCAAACGGTTTCTTGACAAAATATGTTCTGTATTGTTGAAAAAGAAGGCCAGGTTTGAATTGATTTAAAAGGACACTAGATCGAACATTGTAAGAAAATAATTAGTGATAAAAGGGTTTTTATCGTGAAATAGAGGAAAGACTAAGTAATCAACTAAAACTTTAACATAAAATCTCAAGACTTGAGATAACCTTGAATATATAGCTCAACAATCATAAAAGACTAAATAGAACAAATGATAGAAGGAAAGATAAGAAATACGCCATAGGCTCCCCCCCAAGCAAATTTTCGCTTGTTTTCTTCTCGTCGGGTGCACTCTAAGGAAGATGTTATATGATGACTCCATGCTCGGGTATGAGGGAGTCTTGCATTAAGACTCCAAGTTTGCACTAGAGCATACATGCGAAGAAAAGGAGAAATAAAAAAAATGATAACAATATAGTTGTTATACGGGATTTCTATTAATGTGATGCACCTACCAATTTAAAATATTGAACTTAAACACAGTTTGTTAACATCAAACGCCATTGTAAGAACAAATATGTATAAAGTATAGAATTTAAAAATAATATTATTATTTGATTAACTAAAGAAAAGTAATATACTTTTCATAAAATATGATAAGAGTGATTTATATTAATAATAGTAGTAATAACACTCATACTAATACTAATAATTCTAGTACTAATACTAATAATCATGATATAGTAGTAGTAATCATTGTGATTAAAAAAATAGTAGTAAAAATAAGGTATTTAGTTTATTAATAACTTTGAAGCTCAAGGAGATTAATCGAAAGAAAAGTGGGACAAAATTGGATATCAACAGGTTCTTTTATTAAAAGTTACTCATGTACAAATAATTACTCAGTAAAGGAAAATTGAGCTTGGCCCAGATATAAATAAATGACTATTGAATAGACCAAAAATAAAATCAATCTGGACTTCGGATAACCCTAGCTCGAATACCATATTAGTAGCACAAATCAACACAAATTTAGAAAAAACTTGAGTTTGGGTTCAAGAAAGAATGAGAAGAAAGAGAAACTTTTATTGAATTATTGATGAAAAATACAAAATAAATTCGTCTCTGAACAAATAATTAATCGGTAAAGAAAAATTAGGCTTGGCCCAGTTATAAATAAATCACTATTGAAATGGTCCAATAACAAAATCAATTTGGCCTTCGGGGAACCCTAGCTCTAATATCATATTAGCGGCGAAAATCAACACAAATTTGAGAAAAACTTTAGCTAGTGTTCGAGAGATAATGAGAAGGAAAAGAGAAAAACTTTTATTGAACTGTTGATGAAAATACAAAATAAATCCGTATCCGAAAATATCTAGAAATCGATTATTTTATTAAAAAACCCGAACCAAGTAGAAATAATTATTTTGTAAAGAAAAAATGGGCTTGGCCCAATTATAAATAATAATTATTGAATGGTCCAATAATAAAATCAATTTTGTGTTCGGGGACGCTAGCTCTGATATCATGTTAGTAGCGGAAATGAACACAAATTTAGAAAAAACTTGAGCTAGGGTTCGAGAGAGAATGAGAAGAAAGAAGATAAACTTTTATTGAACTATTGATGAAAAATACAAAATAAATTCGTCTTTAAAAATATCTAGAAGTCAGTTCTTTTATTAAAAGACCCAACCCAGGTACAAATTAATCAGTAAAAAAAATTGAGCTTGGCCCAGTTACAAATAAATGACTATTAAAATGGTCCAAATACAAAATTAATCTGGGCATCGGGGAACCCTAACTCTAATATCATGTTTGCAGTGAAAATCAACACAAAGTTTAGAAAAACTTGAGCTAGGGTTCGAGAGAGAATGAGAAAAAGGAGAGAAACTTTTATTGAACTGTTGATGAAAAATACAAAATAAATTTATCTCTAAAAATATCTGAAAGTCGGTTACTTTATGAAAAAATCCGACTCAGGTACAAAATTTAATCAGTAAAGAAAAATTAGGTTTAACCCAGTTACAAATAAATGACTACTAAAATGGACTAATAATAAAATCAATCTGGATTACGTGGAACCCTAGCTCTGGTACCATGTTAGCAGCGGAAATCAACACAAATTTAGAAAAAACTTGAGCTAGGGTTCGAGAGAGAATGAGAAGAAAGAGAAAAACTTTTATTGAACTGTTAATGGAAATATTTGGAAGTAGGCTATATTATTAAAAGACCCGACCCAGGTACAAATAATTAATCAGTAAAGAAAAATTAGGCTTGACCCAGTTACAAATAAATGACTACTGATATGGACCAATAACAAAATAAATATGGGTTTCGAAGAATAAGTCCAACATGACTTGGCTAAATCAACAGGTGGCTTGAACATAACTCATATCCAAATTAAAACAAAACAGCAATCCTCAAGAAATTCTGCAATTTATGATTTACATAAACTGACAGACTCTAAATTAGATGGGTTCACATATATTATATGAGAGGAAAAGAAGCATGGAATATGAACCCAACATAAGCTTCTTAGATAGTCCAGAAAATTATTAAAGCACACAAATATCTCCCTCAAGTTGAGCTAAAGATAGATGAAGTTCTGATGAATAGGGAAATGCTATATTAGAATAATGCATAATCAACTAGAGTGACATTTCCTAAAGTGGCTTGGAGGAGATTGACTTGCAATAATTTGGGGAATCCAAAATGGGTATTCACATTATACCTAACAATCTAATGTTGACTATATACTAAGGACACACTAATAAAATAGAGCTCTGAGATTAGTCCAAGCTGTCCATTATGTGCATCAAAGGTGGAAGGCCATCAACGTCTTTTCTTCAAATGTATGTTTTCAACAAGCATATGGCATATGATGTTATAATGGCAATGCATTAGAAGGAATTCTTACAACTGAACGGAGAAAATAGAATGGGCAATCTCACATGCTAAAGGAAGGAGTAGTGTATAAAATGACTTTGCCTAGAACCATCTACCACATATGGCAGGAGTAGGGGTGGCAAACAGGCGGGGTCAGGTCAGATATGAACCGGTCAAAAATGATAATACAAAAATGGATAAATTATCCAACCCGACCCATATTTAGTACTAATAAAAAATAGGTTAACCGGCGGATAATATGGATATCCCTATTATCCATGACTTCTTGAATATGATCACTTTTAGGAGAATTCCTAGTTTTCAAAACTTAAGGAACCCCCAATTGGAGGCTTTACAAATGTAAAAGTTAAACCCATTAGTTATCCATTTTCTAAGCGGATAATATGATTTTTATCCATATTTGACCCGTTTTTAAAAAGTTCATTATCTAATTCATTTTTAATGGATAATATGAGTGCATAACTATTTTTCTTTATCCATTTTGCCATCACTAAGCTGGAGCATAATTGCAAATATTTTCAAGAGAAATAAAGAAGCTGTGAAGCTCTAATTCGTATGATCATCCAAGAAATGCACTGCAGGGGGAAATTGTGTCCAAGACTAGCCAGATAGTGCAAACTCTAAACTTTTATTCTTAACTAGCGTTTGGCCATAGATTCCTAAATTTGTTCTGAAAAATCTGATTTGAGTGAAGTTTGGTTTGAAGATGAAAATGTGTTTGGACATCAGTTTTTAAAACATATTTCCTATATTTATTTTGGAAAAATATGAAACATGACTTATACCCACAAGTTCTAAAAACTATCACAAATACCCAACATAACCATTATCAATAACATTCATTATATTATCGCAAACCATAGTCCTAACATAAATAAATTTGATACAAAATTATTATTTTTATAATGAACTACATGATACACTATCAGGTGACCGAGAAGACGAAACAACATTGTTACAAAATAATAAATGGTGGGCTCTTTTATAAAATACAAAAATTTGGGTTAATTTTTAAAAAATATAATAATGATATTTTGGCCCAAAACCAGCTATTGAGTTGGTTTTGGGATTTGGGATTTTGCCAAAATATAGGCAAAATCTATGACCAAATATGTGTTTGCCAAATAAAATCCAAATTTATTTTGGCAAAATCTATGGTCAAACGGGTCCTTAATATGTATTGTATATTTTATATGCTTGAAGGATAGGAAGTATAGAAGTAGTACGATCAGAAGTTGTTCTCTTAAATCAAGGCCAAATTCCAACATATAAATAATTTTCCTGGTAATGAAATAATTAGTTACAAAAAAATAAAATTAAATAAATACCTCAAAAAATAATTGAGTGGAAATTTCCTAAATTCAATTGACCAGATCCCTGATGAAAAAATAAAAATAAAGAAATTTGAACAGATCCCTCTCAAATCGAGCCCACTCGAGAGCCCGACCCGAACTTTCAAAACCACACCATTAACACCTAAAACATCCAGATCAAGGTAGCTCCTCGATCCACTCCTCCGCAGTCTCTCTCCTCCACTCCTCCGCCGTATACAACTCCTCTCCGCCATGGACACCGCCGGTTCACCCGACCCAAATCCACCACAACCCACCACCACCACCGTCGTCGACGATCCACTAAACAATCCATACACCTCCCTAAACATCCTCTGCCACGACCTCTCCGATCTCCAAGACCTAGCAACTCGCGGCGCGTGGAAATCAATCCTCGACAAAGTCGGCCACGCGCGTTCCCTTAATCTCCTCACTAAACCCCACGAACACCTCACCTACCTCACCTTCAACGCCTTAGCTCTCACCAAGCTCCGCCGCCCCGTCGATGCTAATCAAGAGCTCGAAACCCTCCTCGAAAATGGCCAAGAAGATTTCAACTCCCCACAATTCCATTACCAAAATTACCCTTCTCATTACCCCAACATGAAGGGCAATTTCGTCCCTTTCGCTCTCCGTTGGCTCCATGCTTATCTCCCCCAGGCGCTTGGCCAGCGCGTGAAGTCACTCGACCGGCTTTACACCTTACTTGATTACATTAGATCGAAAAAGGTTGAAACTTTAACCAACCCCAGTAAGGAATCTTGGAAAAGGAGGGAAATTTTGGTGTTGAACACGATAATTAGTCACCATTTGAGTCAAAAAGATTTTAAATTGTGCTTGGAGTTGTTGAATATGTTGATTGAGTTATGTGGGAATGATGATCCGAACGTGTTGTCGAAATTAGGGTATGTAAAAATGCAGTATGGTGATGTGGAGGGCGCGAAAAAGGCGTTTAATTCGGTGGAGGGGATGGTAGGGAGTGAAAGTGAAGCGGGGTTGAGGAATTTGGTGGGTAGGAATAAGGCATTAATGTATGTAGTGGAGAAAGATTATGTTTCTGCAGTTAGGGAGTATGAAGAGTGTATTGAAAGGGATGGAATGGATATGGTGGCAATGAATAATAAGGCTTTGTGTTTGATGTATTCGAGGGATTTATCCGATGCTATTAAGGTTTTGGAGAATGCTTTAGAGAGGGTTCCGACTGTGGCGTTGAACGAGACTCTTGTGGTGAATTTATGTAGTATGTATGAATTGGCTTATGTTAATCATTCGGATATTAAGAGGACGCTTAATAATTGGATTGCTAGAGTTGCTCCTGATGACTTTGACTCGACATGTACTCGAACATGAGGTATTGATTGTTCTTTGTAGATGTAATTGAGAATGAGAATGAGAATTCGGATTACGTTTTAAGTAATCTCATTTCCTCTTTCTAATTGTGATATTGTATTTTGTGATGCACTTTTTGTTGTCTTAGAATAGATCAACACTTGCCTTGGTGTTAGAAAGAGTTGACTACTTGTATTCTTTCCAGAAATGAAGAAATAATGAAGTTATTCTCAGTCACAATTTTTTGACTACGGAAGATTTTGATATGTCCAGAAAGCTGGTTTCTGCTCATGATGTTCCAGCATTAGCTAGATCATCCCCATTAATCTAAAATGTTATCAAGATTCATCATAAAATTCGTAATGTGTGGAAGTAGTATATTATAAATGAGACATCAATCTCTTGATATTCCTTGTAGTTGGAGGACAATCTGAACCAGAGTGTTATGCTTCTGTGGTTTCTAAAACTGAATGTTAGGTTGTTCTCTGCTAATAGCTGCATAGTGCATCTGTTGGCTCCAAAAGCTATTGAACAAGGAGCGGAGCGAGCCTATTAGGTGCGGGTTCAGCCGAATCCAGTCACTTTTGCTAAGACACTGTATTTGTATTAGGAAATTCATTAAATATGTATAAATATTCATTATGTATAAATATTTATATTAGGAAATTTATTAAATATGTATAAATATTTAACTGTGAACCAATAACAAAGACAAGCTATGGGTTCCATGACAAATCCAGAACCCATAAACGTCAAATCCTAGCCTTGCCTATGTTAATGGAACCCGTTTAATGTCCCGCAGTCAGTGTTTTTGAGAGCGAGAAGCGCAAAAAAGCGACAGGGGCTCGCCTCGCTTCAAAAGCGAAGCGCAAAGTGAAGCGCACGCTTCATTGAAGTGAAGCCAATTCTTAATAATTAATTTTATAAACTGAAATACACATTAAAAAAATCAAATAAACTAAAATATAACATATATATATAATAATTAATTTTCTAAGCTGAAATACATATAAAATTAATCAAATAAACTGAAAATATAACATATATATAATAATTAATTTTATAAAGAACTACACATTAAAAAAATCAAATAAACTGAAAAATATAGCATATATATATAATAGTAATTAATTTTATAAACTAAAATACATATTAAAATTAATAAATAAGAAAAATAAAAGGGGAAAAAAAAAGAAAACCCTGCCCTAGCTGTGTAGACGCTGGACGAGAAAAACTGAAAAGAGAAGAGAAGAAGAAGAAGAAGGAAGAAAGAAGGAAGAAGAAAGAAAAAAAGATAAAATGCCTTAGGGTGAGCAAACGCCTGGATGGGAACAAGAAGGAGAAAGAAGGAAGAAGAAAGTTGAAAGAAAAAAAGGAGAAGAAGAAAGGACAAGAAGAAGAAAGAAGAAAAATTACCTGGAGGAAGTCTCTGGCGAATGAAACCCCTAGCAGCGGCAATTGATTTTGGGAAGAAGAGAGAAATGGTCGATCAATTTGGTCTTAGGGGTCTGTTTTGTATAATAAAAAAACAGACCCAAACTTTTTTTTAAAACAAACTGACCCCTTTTGACTGAAGCGAGCGCTTCTGCGCTTCACGCTTCTTCGACTGAAGCGAGCGCTTCATCTGGTCGAGTCACCTCAGGCATGGAAAAACGAGCAGCCATCGCTTCGCGTCGCTTCTCGCTTAAAGCGACGAAGCGATCGCTTTTTAAAACACTGCCCGCAGTATTTGGTGAAGTTAAATTTTCTGCTCTTGGAAAGAGCTTTAAGTACTAGTTTGCCGTTGCTTTTATGTGGTGTAGTTGGTGAGCTAAAAGTTTGATCTTTGCAGTTGAGAAATTTCTCTTTTTGTTGGGTAATTTTAAAGATGCATTTGAGGGATACGCTAGTACCAATATTCGCTTTCACTCAAAGAAGGAAGAGGTTGTACTGATTTGAAGTGGTTGACGAGGAATTAACACCAAGATGCTCTATGAGATTAAGTTTAATTAATCTATCCAGACGAGCTACGATTATGTAAACATGCTTGGCTTATAGAAGTTTGGTTTTTATTGTTGGTCCTGATATATTATCTCTTTTCGTCGTCTTTTCGTCTTCTTGAGTCGAGGGTCTATCGGAAACAACCGCTCTACCCTTCGGGGTAGGGGTAAGGTTTGCGTACACACTATCCTCCCCGGACCCCACTAGTGGGATTTCACTGGTTCGTTGTTGTTGTTGTTGCTGCTTGGCTTATAGAAGTTTAAGATTTTCCTGTTGAACCTTCCTAAAGACTTCTGTTGGCCTTTCTGATCCGCTGCTCTTTGGATCCAATCTGATATTTCTATTGCCAAAGCTCAGTTTGCAGAAAGGCTTTTATGTACTGGCATGCATTGGATCTATTTCAGAATGTTGTTGCGATCTGCAAGTTGTCGCAAATATTCTCTACCTCTTTAAGGGGTTCAGACCATAGTCTTCTAGGATCATCTGGAAACGACTTCTTGCAGTTTGGCTAATTTGTAGGAAAAAGATATGTTGCAGTTTGGTTGGATTTGTACTTGGTGGCGAAAAACGATCTTATCTGAATTCTGCTTGATTCAACATTTTGAACTCCAGGCCTCCTAAATAATGTGTATTCTTTGGCTGGTGATCTTTTCATTTTATCAGCTGATAATCGTTTATCTGCTAATAATTGGTTTCGATCTTGTTATGTAGCTCACTTTTTTCCCGGAATAAATTTATTCTGAAAAGCAATATTCCCTCTTCTAGATTGTTAGCACTTTAGTAACTTTTGTTATAGCCCTGGTTAGGAAAATTACAGAGTAATCTCTTAGTTGTAAGGCCAGCAAAAGAGAGGAAAATAGAACACAATTGATATTCATACATAGGCTAACATGTCAAACACTGTCAACAAAGAGAGGTACTAGCATGAAATCAATGGCCAGTATCAATAGGCTTCTTACTTTTGTATCAAATACTATTAACAAAGAGAAGTACCAAAAGGAATTTAATAGAAGAGAATTATTGGTTCTTTGCAGATGATGAATCCAAGGGCTGCACATGATCATGATTAGCTCCTTCAGTTATCATCTCCTTTTGTTGCTTCTCCCATTTCTCAATCTCCTCAGCCAATAAGCCTTTGGAATCTCCTTCTTTTTCATGATTTCCTTTCATCTTTGCTTTCTTCAGAGTATGTCTCAAATCAAAACACATCTTTGGTCAGTAGTAGTGCTAATTGATTAACTGCTTACAAGAGGCCGTTCTTCTTTATATCTTCGTGACCTTTTAAAGTAATTTTTGGAGATGATATCAATGACTATATGGATCATTATCATCAAAACCATTTTTCTTTCTTTTGTTTTTTTAATTCACTAGGAAACAATTTAACCATCAAATGATTTGTGAATATAATGGGGCTTTTGTATCTATACCCGGTTTTGGGTCACAATTGAACCTATACCCACTTTGCAAAAACATTTGCAAGCCTACCCACTTTACGATCAACTTCAGACTTATCGGGTCTGAAGTTAAAAAAGAAATAGTCTGAAGTGAAAAAATTGCACTTCAGATGCATTACGGCCAAATAGGTCTGAAGTGCAACCAATGGTTTCATGCACTTAAGGCCAATAAGTTTGAAGTGGAAAACATTGCACTTCAGATGCACTTAAGGACAAAAGGTTTGAAGTACAACAAACGTTTTCCTACATTTAAGGCCAATAAGTCTGAAGTGAAAAATTGCACTTCAGATATACTTAAAGGCCAAATAAGTATAAAGTATAACCAATGGTTTCATGGATTTAAGGCAAATAAATCTGAAGTGAAAAATTACATTTCAAATGCACTTAAGGCCAAAAGGTCTGAAGCGCAACAAACATTTTCCTACACGTAAGGCCAAGAAGTCTGAAGTGAAAATTGCACTTCGGATGCACTTAAGGCCAAACGGTCTGAAGTGCAACCAACATTTTTATGCACTTAAGGTAAATAGGCCTGCAGTGCACATTGCCCAGAAACAGAAATTTGTTCTTCGAATTTTAACAATCCAATATTCGATTTAATACCTAAATCTATTTCAAATGAGCTCAAATTTGAAACGTAACATCCAAATATTATCAAGAACAAACCGCAGTCATCAATTTGTCAAAAGAACAATAAATTTAATGAACTCATTTTGTAATTAAGAAAAAGAAGAAGAAACCCTAAGTAATAATAAAAAATAAAGCGCCACAACAGCTCACCACTGTAAAATATCATAAACTACCTTAAAATATATTCACAAACACTATATAAAATCACTGTCACCCGAAGAAGAAGAAGAATGGTTGAAGTTGTTTAAAAAGTGCGTACAAGTTATAAAAAAAAAATTTAAAAGTGGGTACAGGTTAAATGGGGGTAACCAAATAGGACGCCAGTGCAAATTTTGCGAATATAACTTGGGTAAATTCATGTGGAAATGACACAAGGTAGCCACTTTTAAGCATGTTATTTAAAATATATCCACAATTTAAAATGTATTTAAAGATAAAACCAATTCGTTCAAACTTCAGGACATGACGTCTTGAAATTTAAACCTCAAAGTACAAACTTCAGGATATCGTGTCTTAAAGTTCAAGTATTGTGTCCAGAAATTTAAATCTTATGTCCTGAATTTTAAATTAACAATTCAGAAATTCAAAACACTTAGTCCTGAATTTTAAATTAGCAGCTCAAAAATATGGGACACAAATTCCTGAATTCTATATTAGCAGCCCAAAAATTTAGGATACAAATATTCGTAATACTTTCTAAAGTTTTGATGAATTGGCTAATCTTTAAAGATATTGTAAATTATGAATATATTTTAAATAATAGACTTAAAATTAAGAACTCACGATTCAATGGGCCGGAGTTAGAAATGAGCTAATTTTTGCTGATGCATAAATCATTGGTGTCCACTTGTTTGACTTTGTGGAACTTTTGGTGCATTTATATAACTATAAGAAACTGAACTAGAGAGAGGTTTTGGTCACACTAATCAAATTGGTTTATTATGTTGAATGTCAAGATGTGAAATAAGAAGAGTACATTCATTAAACTGTCCAATAACTCCACTGACAGTGAAATAAGAAGAGCACATTCAATAAAGGCATTAGTATTAAAAGTAAATATTGGAAGTTAAACTTAACATGTTCCTTACAAAACATAGGTAGATCTCGTATACATGACCTGATTAGGTCAATATTTTTAGGATTTAAATCCACTGACAGTGTAATGATTTTTTTAACTATCAGTGTTATTTAACATTTATAATAGATTACTTATAGTTTATTTTAAATTACCAACTAATGTGGTCTAATAAAGTTATCTGCAATTATTTTTGAAGTAACCTTAATTGTATAAATACTTTTCACTATCAAACTTACAAGTCTATATTTTATACTCCATTCTGTCAATGCATGGCCTTACATTGGTAACAAGTAGTGCAAGTGAACTGTACTAAAATTAAAAAAAATACAAATTTAACTTATTTTCTAGCTGAACATACTTTTCTTTTTCTCCATTCTATTACAAGATCGTCTTCTCAACCCATCAAGCTGTCTTTCCCACACCTCCTTGGTCAAAACTGTCTTCCTATTTTCCTTAGATTGTCTCCAAATCACTTCATTCTCAAAAGAATCTATTAAACTCAGCTCAGAATCATAAATTTGACGAGAAATTGGATCAGAAAGAGTCTCATATGCTTTTCTCAGCTCAATAAATCGTCTCGTGGATTCTTCTTTATTTGAATTATGGCAATTATCAGGATGGTATTGAAGAGCCATGCATCTATAAGCTTTTTTTATCTCTTCAAACCCTACATTTGATGAACGCAGAGAAAGCACTTCATAGAAATTACTATTGGATTTCTTCGTCTGCATATTTGCCTTGATTTTCATTTGATGGCCACCCTTAATGAGTTTGTTTTTCCTATATTTTTCATGAATAAATATAGGAAAAATCTCCACCTTATAGTTATTCATCTTCAATGACATCTCCATTGGTATATACGTAGTACTCGTGGAACGAGAAACTATTAGAACAGAGTTTTAGAGGTCAGATCGAGTTGATTGATAAAGTTCGTGTTTCAGGTCATTAAAGACCGTAAAAGTATGAGAACAGAGTTTCGGAGGTCAGATCAAGTTGATTGATAAAGTTCAGTGTTGATACTGCTGAGTAGACCTAGTCAAGATTTTATCAAGGAGGGTTTGTGATCATATGAAAGAGTGGTGTGTGAAGTATATATAGAAGATGTTTTAAGTATATGATTAATTGGTACAGATAAGATTTGTTCAATTAGCAGATTCTACGAACGCGTACATAGGTTTTTAAGAATAACAATTAGTGGTTTTGTTTGGTAAGGGTGGTCTACTTTGATGGACAACGTTGAATAATAGTTTGGCTTGAAGTTAACGTCTTTTTTATGTTTTTGTTTTTCTTGATCTACCATTATAATCTTTAAATTAATGTTTATTTAGGTGACCGACCTTGTATGAGTTGTATATATCTTCATTTGCATGGCAGTACTGTTGCGGTCTTTTGTGTGTTCAAAGAACTTAGCTATATATCCAACATAATTTTTCAAAGAAGGAGGTGAAACAAAAAAAGAGTTTTTAAGGTTGTCTTTTCTGTTGTTTGGTAATTTCTTAAAGACGAGGAAAGAAAAGATCAGAGGTAATCCAAAATTTCACCTTGAGTCAACGTAAGATATATATATATATATATCTATATCTCCATCTCAATGTTTTTAATTTTAGTTTATGAAAATGAACGATGGTGTTCAGATTAATTACTTATATATACTTCGACAATTTCAATCGAAGTATTTATTATTTTCCACGAGCATAATTATTGAATACTTCTGTAAGTTCACAGAAATTTAAATAAATAAGAAGATATCACCTAAAATTTTTGTTTTTGTTTGGAGTTGAACCTTTTCCTCTATCTCAAATTTATATGACATATAGATATTCTTTATTCTATTTTAAGTTATGATGTTTCAACATGCTTGAGACGAATTCTACTAATAATAGAGTATAACATTTTATTTAATTTTCTAAGAATTTAAACTTATTAAAATTATTTAATTCGTGTTTTCTCTATCAAAATAACGTATTTATATATTCTCTTCAACCTCTATTTATATATATGATATCATGCAAAAGTGGAAATAATTAACATCTTGAATTCGATATCCATTCCAATAGGGCCAACTAAAATAAAACAAAGTAACTTGTGATTTTGATTAGTGATAAACATCAAATACAACCAGGCAATTGAGCAGCTCGTGACCTGAATCTAGATCTTAAGAATAGTCAAAAATTAAGGTTTTGATAAAGCCAAAGGATGTTACAAAATAAAGATCAACCATAAAACATGTGGGCATTAGAAAATAAAATTGCATATCCACAATTTCTAGCGAAGATTAGGCGGCAAAAGATTCAATTCGTATTAACAAACTGTTCGTTTTACTAGTTTTATTCAATGGATCCATGAGAAAATCTAAGATACATGTGGGGATAGAAAATCCAGATTCATTACACAATTTTCAATTCTTATTCCTTTCTCTAAAAAACAAGGAAAAAAGATTAACTTCCATTTCTTCTCCTTCTCTGTTCTTTTACCCTTTTTCTTTTTGTGCCGGCTTTGTTTATCAATATTCGAGTCAATTGAATAATCATCTGCTAAATTAATAGGAAATTAAATTTCCATGGTAAAGAGGTAGATTTAATATATTGACTATTGACTTAACAAGAAGAAAGGTACTCCCTCCTTCCTAGAAAAGATGGCCGATTTGGAGAAGATAAAATAGACCTAGAACCTCAAAAATTAGTTACTGTAGTAATTAACAAAATCACGAAAAACATGTATCAACTGTGTCAATTTATACAGCATTCACTTTAACAAAAAAAAAATAGTCAAAATAAGTAGACTTTTAAGGGGAGCCTTGGAGCAGCCGTAAAGTTGTCTTCGTGTGACCTGTAGGTCATGAATTCGAGCTACGGAAGTAGTCACCAATGCTTGCATTAGAATAATCTAGGGCTATCAAATTTGGCCCAAGCCCAAATGACCCGCCCAACCCGTCCAAGATTGGGTTGGTTATTGAACCGTCCTTTTATTAATTTTTTTTGGTTTGATATGTTATATATGGCCAGAAAAAGTCTTATTTAGTAATTATACAATTCATAAGCTTGGTAAGAGTTGGACAGGTTGGGTTATGATCCAAATTTTAGTCCATCTTGATCCAACCCATCTTAGCCCAAGTAACTTTTGGGCGAGTCAAATTTATCAACTCAACATATTTTGATCCACCTAAAATCGGCCCACCCCGCCCATTTGATATCTCTAGGTAGGGATAGACATAGTTTGGGCAAACCCGAAATCCAAATCGAAATTTGAATTTTTTGGATTTTTGGTATTATGGATTGGATTTTGGATTTAATTTTAAAAATTTTTGGATTTCGGATTGGATATTGGATTTGGTACTTCGGATTTTTAGATATCCGAAAATCCGTTTTTATACTTTATATTTAATCTATTATCCATATTTCAATAATAATAAATTAAATACCGTACATATTAGATATTATCTAATATATTCAATATTAATTACTAAGTTACTGACAGAATACTTTATATTTGAACATTGCTTGCCGCTTCTTATCAGCTTTATTAATGTCTTTGTTGCATTTTCTTGATAATAATTTTATAATTAAAATACTTTATTTGGATGATTGCGGTGAGAATGAGGAATTTTTCAGGCAATTTAACATGAGTACTTCATTTGGATATTCATTTTTATAAAATGAAGAAACAACTGAATTTATAAGCTCAAAATCGAAATCCAAAATATCCAAACCGATTAATCCGAAATCGAACTTAAAAAATTCGATCCAATCCGAGCTTATTTGGATTGGATTTGGATTGTCATTTCTTTAATCCGAAATTCGAAAATCCAAACCGGAATTTTCATATCCAATCTGAACTTCCTGAACGCCCACCCCTACATCTAGGATTGCCTGTCTACATCATACTCCTTGGGATACGATCCTTTCCAAAATCTTATGTGAATGCAGAATACTTTTTGCATCAGGTACCTTTTAAATAAGCAGATTTACAATTGGTAATTGAAAAATAGTTATAGTTTCAAAAGTAATTTAAATTTAGTCACTTTTTATGTAAAGATAAATCTGAACGAAAACACTGTTCAAAATCCGAAAATATTCCACCATAATATACTGGAGTTCGAATTTTTTACATGTGAACTTCCGGCATATTATACTGGAGTTCCAACATAATATGTTGGAAGTTCATATAAATGTGCTCCAATCTCCGGTATATTATGGTGAAACTTTCCTTGTGCTGGAGTTCCAGTATAATATGCTGAAAGTTCATACATAGGTGCACCAATCTCCAATATATTATGCTTGAACTTTCCGTGTTGCAGCAAAATAGTGACTATTTTTCAATGACTTTGCAAACGTTGATTATTTTTTAATTTCTAATCCGAAAACTGATTAGCCCGTACTATTTTCGCTTTTATGCATCATATATAACCCAATCATTTTAGTAAAGAGGTCCAGCAGTTCTCCTTTTTAATATTTAGAAAAAAACAATTTTCTTCTCGAACATACAAAAGCTAGTACTTCCTATTCATTGCATGATGAGAGTGGGAATCGCAAAAGTATTCTAGACTAATGTATGTAAACTAGACTAGAACCCTCTTCTCTTTTTATTTTTATTTTATCTAAATTTTTTTAATAAACATGCGACAAGTTAAACATGAAACACATAATGAAGGTGGTTCTCGTTAACTATAAATAGAATTTTATAAATACTTAATAAAATAAATAATTCAGATGCAATAGAACTAATAACTTTGAGAATAAGGATAGTGATTTTTTTCTCATAATAATTTTTTTACTCTGCAAATGAACTTAATTAACATAGATTTAGTAGATACTTTTACTTCAAAAATATATAAATGGACAAAATGGTAAAATCTATAAAGTACCTAACATTTTAATATTTAGTTTTCTCTCCTAGAATACTAATCTTTTTTATGTCGTAAAAATATTGGATTATGGAGAATAATATTGAGCTTGAAGCGTGTCAAATACATACTGGGTTATACAAGAGTGGGTTGTTCTAGTGGTGAGTACCTTCCACTTCGAACCAAGAAGTTATGAGTTCGAGTTACCCCAAGAGTAAGGTAGAGAGTTCTTGGAGGGAGGGAGCCGAGGGTTTATCGGAAACAGCCTCTCTACCCCAGGGTAGGGATAAGGTCTGCGTACACACTACCCTCCCCAGACCCTACTAGTGAGATTATACTGGGTTATTGGGTTGTTGTTGTTTTTGTTGTGTCGTGTTAAAGATATTATCCTTAATGATATTTCGCTCACATCGTGATGAATATTATAAGGCGTATATCTCAGAATTCAACAAACTCTTCTAGTATAAATTAGGAGAAGAAACAACAAAGATTGATTGAAAGAAAAACCAACACAAAAGAAGGGGAAGAAAAGTTTTACTTTTTCACTCTCCAAATGAACACAAGCATATACTTATATATAGTCCAAAAAATGGACATCTGATTGTTGCCAAAAACGTTACAAAATTAAGGAATCTTCCCGGTAAGAGACGTTACTAACTTTAAAGGCAATTAAGCCAAAAACGTTATAAACAACAATTTTCTTACAGCCATAGTGATAGCCATTCAAGGTTAGTAAATTATTATATTCAAAGCTATTCAAATTTTTAGTTATAGATATTAAAATATTTCAATTGATTGGTATAATAAAGACCTATTAAAATAATATAAAAAAATGAACCTAGACATTAATTTGAATTTTTTTTTTTTGAGTTATCAAATTTTTTTTCTAACAATCCCCCACGTAACTCAAAAAGAATATTAAGGAATAGAATAAAATATGAAGTTTTGCTGGGTTTTCATAAATGAGCATAATACGTCGAATCTGGTGTCTCTTTGACTATGAACCAG